GTCATCATATTCTGCTGAATCTGTTGGCGTGGTGATGATATCACGTGATCTTGATAATGCAACATTAAAATTCTGTATTTTTAATTTCTCAGTTGAATTTAACGTGTATAGCACAACTAGAGTTAACACACCTGAATACACTATTATGAACCTCATTGCAATTGCAGAAATATTCTGTTTCAAAAAGAAAGATTATTGTTAGGGTTAGCGATTCGAATATTACAGGAATTCAAAAACGCTTTTTATACGTTTATGCATGATAATAATAATAATAATAATAATAATAATAATAATAATAATAATAATAATAATAATAATAATAATAATAATAATAATAATAATAATAATTTAGGTATAATTTTGTTGCAGTTTAGTACTACTGTATTGTATTTTTTTTTATCTTATTTATACGGAGCGAGTGTTTATTTTCGGTTAATTTTCATGTTTAATTTTGTTTTTGCTGTCTTGAAGAGGGGCATCAGTGACGGACTCGTAAGAGTTTCTATGTCGTCCATTGACCATTTTTAAAAAATGTTTACTGTAACCTTCATTTGTTTTAATTCCATGTATGTTATATGGTCGAATAAATGTGTTGCCAACGTAACGTGCACGCAGTACATGGCTATTTATATTGTAAACAATGTATTATGAAGTGTATATTTACATATACCACACCCAAATAGTTCATTAGATCTATTTTTATTGACATTTCCAGTGCTTTCAATTGTATTTAGTCTCATTTATACTTTATATTGTATAACCTGAATGTCAAAATCAACATTTTATTATGACTTTCATGTCTGAAAAATATTGGTTATTTTGAGGAAGTAGACAGATTTGCAAAATGGTGCGGTAAGAATTATCTATTGCTAAATATTGAGAAAACTAAAGACCTAATTATTGATTTTGAATTTAAAAAAAAAAAACGAAATTGTCCCCCTTGTAATCAATGGAGCAGAAGTTGAACAAGTCGATAAATATAAATATTTAGGAACCATAATTGATAAAAAAACTTAGGCCTACTTGGACAGACCAAGCTGAAGTAACAGTTCGCAAAGATAATCAGCATTTATATTTTTTAAGGAAACTTAAAAATGTTAGTGTAAATGAAAATATAATTTTACTCTTCTACAAGGCCGTTATACCGTGTTCTAATGTTTAATGAAATTTACTACTATGATAACACGTTTGAATATGCCTATAGGAAAAATCAATTTGAACTTTTTGTCAAAATAGCTAATAAATGCATTAATCGAGATGTCTAGTCTAGTACAGTATTACAATCTTATTGAACAGAAAAGGATGGCAAGTATAAAAGATGATGTGCATCCACTAAGCTTATCGTGTAAGTCTAACTTAACTCTCAAGAACATCAAGTTATCGACTTTTTATTCCAGAATGCATTTTTAATTATAATAGCTATGTTAATCATCATAGATAAATAAAAATTAGTTTAGACCAGATTAACAACACCAGAGAATACCTGGTCCCATTAATGTATCGTATTTTACATTGTATAGTTTATTGTTTTCCATATATATCGTATGCTTCATTGTTATTTAGGCCTATTGTTTATTTAATGTATTTTTACTGTATAGATACTGCTATGTGGAACTATTGCCAAATGTGCCTGATGGGCTTGGCATGGGTTGCAGTGGTACCTCCGACAGGGGATTTGTTCCCCCCAACTGAGTACCTCGTCCCCAACATCTCATAATTAACAGAAAACAGAAAATTGTATCTGTTAATAACAAAATTTAATTTAATCGTTTTCCCGGGGGTAGGCTTCCCCGACAGGGGAGGGGGCGTGGACCCCTTGTCGGGGTGCTTAGACCTCTCGTCGGGGAATTCCTGAAGCTGCTCCTGCTGACGAACTGTCTGAAATACAATGATAAAAAATATACTGTAAACCCAAGTTGTTTTTTTTAGTACTCACATAATGTAGGCCTGTGATCCGTTTGATGAGGTGATGATTGGACTGTGTCATCATCATGTCAACACTGATGAAAATAAGCAAAAATATGAAAGAATATCATTTTACTGCATCTAATATATGTTCAACAATGGGCAATTTCAAATAACAGAAAGGCTTTTTATTACCTGATGATGACATAATTAATGTCGAAATATTGAATCCCAACACGATGGCGTGCCTTTCGATACTTGGAGTATATTGTATTATATTATCTTATCTGAGATTAATCAGTGGACCTTTCGCTTTTTATTACCGGTAGCCAAGTACAACAACCGAACTGAGGGGGTATGTCAGTTGTTGGACAAGAGCTTCGGCGATACATTTTTTCTTATTTTCTGTTTGATTACATTCAAAAATGATATTTCAATATTGAATCATGTTGTGGGAGTTTGTATGAGTTAGAATTAGCAATCGATAAAGGAAGGCCCATTTTTTTTAACTGGGGGTATGCATAAATTAGAAATTCAAATTCCTAATTTCTTACACACAATTAGCTATGAAGGCAGCGGTGGCACCAGAAATTTGCCGACAAGCGTCCGACATGTCCGACAGAGGGGTGCGAGCCAAAGGGCTGACGAAGCCTCGGTCAACGGCCCAGAATAAAAACTCCCTTTTGGGGTTCACGGGAAGCGTTTTTATGGCTTAATGGTCCAAAATGTGCTTTTAGATCACAATATATTAGGGATTGGAAGTCAAAATAACGTTATTTAGATAGGCTACTGTTATGGTTCATGATTTTAGGCACATTGTTAATTTTATTAATTACCCTAATTAATGGAACATCCTTAAGTGGTATATCCCATTGGAATGTCCAATGGGAAGGAGTGCTTGAGAAGCCAAGCCAAGTAGCTTTTATCTGTCTCTTTGTTCCAAGCCATTGTTGAGAGCAGACATATATAGAATCTTAATCTGATGTCTTCGTAAATTCAAAGTTTTTTATATAGAACTGTAAGTAATTACACTTATTATACCTATTATATTAATGACATTTATTTGAGTATATGTAAATTATAGTATGCTTAGACATAATAACTATCGTACTGAGCTATTGTTTAGAAGTACAGTGTGTTTTGTAATTACCATTAAGTAGTAATTAACCAGATTACTTTTATGATCATTAACTTTAAATTATGCAGTGTCTGGAATTGTTCCTACGATTAAGTTTTTATTATGTTAACTATTGAAGTTAGTTAAGCTTGATCAGACACCTTTTGATTACTATAGATTTAATAATCATTGACTTTATAATCATTTGATCAGATACAGTGTCATAAACTGAAACTGTTCTAGAATTGAATTCTACAGTACTATTACTATGTTATTTTACAATTACATAATGTATGCAATCTGAAGTATTACATTATTATATATTTTTGATGTAATTAAGTAAATTTTGATCCCACCAGACAACTGATCATACATTATATCTAATTTAAGTTGGCCTCATTAGTGATAAGATTGAATAAGAAAAGCTAACCATTGGTGGCGCTTTTCATTATGGCTGCCTGTAGGTGGCGCTCTTTATTGTTTACTATTTATTGGTTATGTTATTATCATGTATTATTTATAATGTTACCTTTATAGATTATTATACTGTACCAAACTTGGTTATACTGATCTACATAGACAAATGATTTGCCATGAACTGGTGAGTGGATATTAATGTACAGTATTGTTTTAAGTAATACATGGATACAATTTTAACTATGAATGTTGATTGATTACAGTGTAAAGACGATACACAACATGGCTTGACTTTAGTTTGATTGATACTTGTATATCTTTGCTTCTATGTTTTATATGATGATTTACTGTAACACATGATTTAGATTGATTTTAAATAATGATTAATAGCATTAATTATGTTGTCATTGATTTAAGAAAAACTCTTATTTTCCTATGTAACTCTATTTTGTTAGAGGCAAGTTATGATAATTTTGTACCCCTTTTTACAGAGGCTGCTTTGCCTGATTAGTGTTACCCAGAGTTTCTTTGACCGGGTTCATTTTGCTACGTCACTTTGATGAATAAATCTTATGAAATCAAGACGAGTTACCTGTTGTCGTTGTACGTGTCGACCGCTACCCCACACAAATAGTTAGGGAGGCCGGAGCCTTTTACAGTGGTGTCAGAAGTGGGATGAACAAGACAAGATAAGGTAAAAAAAAGTACGTTATTCAAGGAAGCAGCCTCGGTTTGTGGAAGAAGACCCATCCTGAAGAAGACTGAAGACTCAATGTTGTATATGTTGATAATTGTATATTTAAAGATTTATAATTTGAAGTTCATGATATGATTTATAATCTCTGATGAAGATATCTATATTGTTTATACTGTAGAATTTTGTCTGTCTTACGCTGTTATATTAACATTTGATTTTTTATATGATAACATATAATTTTTTTTGAATATATACCCTATACTTTACACATATTATCTATATATATATATGCTATGGCTATGGAAAACGGAGCAGGTCCTTCTACACAGGAGATTTTACAAACAATAGCAACTGCACTTCAAGGCATCAACGTTCATCATGTCCATCCTGGAATAAAACTGACCAAGTTTAAAGGTTCCAAGGCAAGTAATGAACCTTCTTTGACTGAGTGGCTGGAAGATTTCACAGCTTACGCAAATCAGTATGGACTGGAAGATGCCAAGAGAGCACAAGCCTTGTTGGACCATTTGGGTGGAAGCGCGAAAGAAGAATTAATGTGTTATGGTGTTGATGTACGAAGCAACCATCAGCGAATAGTTGAAGTGTTGAAAGAACGCTTTGGTCCACTTGAGACGAATGCTTCGTTGAGCGAGACTCTACATAATCGTGTACAACAAGATGGCGAAAGCCTAGCAGAGTTTAGTTTGGCACTAATGAGACTGTATGGAAAAATGGAAACTGCAACGACAGATACCGGTGAAAGAAATGCATTGGCAAGACTAAGAGATAATACTCTTAAAGAAAGATTGGTTAGAGGTGTCCGGGAAAAGTGGGTCCAGCGGGAGTTGCGGAGAATAGAAATTGATTGCAGAGGCAGATCGTTCATGGAAATGCGTAGAAGTGCACTTGACTTTTTTCAAGATCAGGAACCAATCTCTAGAAGATCCCATGGTATATACGAAGTGCATGCTGATCGAGTGGCGAATACTTCTCACCGAGACCAAAACAACCAATCAACCGAGAGTCGGGAGTTATCCAAAGAGGTCAACACACTAAAAGATGAAATGGCAAAGTTAAGGTTGGTGATCGAAAAAATGGATAGGCCAAGCACAAGTAATAAAAGTAGGTCAATCAAAGACGTAAGTTGCTACCAGTGTGGGCAGAAGGGTCATTATAGACGCCAGTGCCGGAACTCAAGTCGGTCACAGGACACCTATCAACGAAAGTCCTACCAACCACAGCCAACCAACAAATCTCAGACAGCTTACCACCAGGCACCAGTTCACCAGCCTCAAGGAATTTACCAAATTCAACCTACACCTCAGCAAATGTATCAAACCCAGCCAACCTATCATCAACCTCAAGTGAATTGTCAACCACAGCAGAATGCACAGCAACAAACCTCACAACAGCCACGAAATGTACAGCATTCGGAAAACTCCTACCCTCCTCCATCAGAGGCAAGGTGGTAGGAGGGAAAGATGTCAAGCCTATTATTGTAAATGCAACTGCACCAACAACAAATGAAAGCTATGAGTCAACCCGGTTGGGACTGCTAGCACCAAGCCCTAAGGTGATAATAGATGTTGCCGGAATACCAATCGGTTCTATTCTGGACACCGGAGCAGAAGCGTCCATTATCCCTGCTGATATCTACCACAGCTTACTTGAACCTCACATTGGCCCGATGGGAAGCCTTGAATCAGCTATTAAGATAGTTGGAGTTACAGGTACTAAAATAGCAGTAGAAGGTTATGTGCGGGTACCTGTTACGTTAAGAGGTAAGAATGCTGTAGTTGGATTCTTAGTGGTAGGAGAGAAAACACCTAGACTTGGACGGAAACAGGACTACCCCCTTATATTAGGCTGTAATGCTTTGAGACTATTAACAGATGATACACAAACTCAAGGTGACTTAGGTGTTGTGGTAAACAGCCTTCGGATGTCGAAAGAATCAGCCAACTCCAATAAACAGTGTACTAGACGTGGTGTAGACTTGCTTGCTTGAAGTTGTCCCTCCAAGATCAGTTAAGCGATTAGAGTGTTGCTTCGACACAGGTGCAAGTAATAGTCATGCGGAGAGTGTTTGGTTAGTGGAGTCATCTAGTGATACGTCAGGATTAGAAGTTATTGAGGGTTGTGTTTCTGGTGGATCAGGATTAAGCCTTCTAGTATCCAATTCAGCTGATAAAGAGTTGATTCTACAGCCCAATACCAGAGTAGCCGCAGCTGTTGCACTCGCACAGCAAGCTCAGGTAGTAACGTTTCAAACTGATGGTGTTCTACAAGTAGAAGTTAAAGAAGTCTACATTGATGAAAGTCACATCCTGAATACCTCATCAGCAACAATACACTCAGAAGCTAGGTGTGAGCCACATACTTGCAAAGATGGTACCACATTAGAATTACCAGTTGGAGTCAGTTTAAACAACCTAGACTAATGAAGCAGACCAAGTTGCTAGATTACTAGTTGAGCATAAAGAGGTTTTCTCAACCGGTGAATTTGACCTTGGCCATTGTGACCTAATTCCGCATGAAATCAAAGTGTGTACAGACAAGCAGATCCGCATGCCTTATCGTAGAATACCACCAACACAAATGGCGGAGGTTAAACAACTACTACAAGATATGCTCGATAAGGGGATTATTCAGAGATCATCTAGCCCTTATGCCAGCCCAGTAGTACTTGTGCGGAAAAGCTCCGGGGCACTACGACTTTGTGTCGATTATCGTCAGCTCAACGCTATCACAGTTAAAGATTCTTTCCCGTTACCACGAATCGATGAAACGCTGGAGGCATTAGGTGGAGCGAAATACTTCTCACCAATGGATCTTTCTCATGGATACTTCCAGGTTTCAATGCATCCAGACTCCATCCCGTTAACAGCCATCCGAGTTCCATGGGGATTGTTTGAATTCAACCGCATGCCGCAAGGACTATGCAACAGCCCAGGGAAATTCCAACGGATAATGGAGAATATATTTGGTGACTTAAACTTAGACAAGTTGTTATTGTATTTAGACGA